CTGGCATTTGAGTATATTACAGCTATTCGTCATAGGGAAACGGGCATATGAGTATACTACAGCTATAAACGGGCATAAGAGTATACTACAGCTGTAAACGGGCATATGAGTATATTACAGCTATTTCTCATATGGTCTATTACCACCATCGGGCCAGCATCTACCTCTCCACTGGTATTGGGACCAGCGACTATATACAGAGTGCGATCTAGTATCAATCACGGGCTATGAACAGTGATACCGTTAGGCGAACAATCTCACAGATCTTCCATCCTACATAGAGACTTCAAGTACACACTTTTCACCAGAGAAAGTATGTAAGATTTTTAATATGGGCAAGTGCATGCTAAACTGGATAACGCTTTGCCCCCCCCCCCCCAGAAGTACTCACGGTTTTTGGAGTGGTTGACAGCCGAGAAGAGATGAAGAAGTACAATGTATGTATACGTTGATGTAGAAATACACGTTAACGTACACATGAATTCAGTCTACGTCAAAGTAGCTTCTATGTATACGTTGATGTAGAAATACACGATAACGTATACATGAATTCAGTCTACGTCTAATTAGCTTCAATGTATACGTTGAGGTAGAAATAAACGTTAACGTACACATGAATTCAGTCTAAGTCTAATTAGCTTCTGATACCAGTGTACACATATGCCGTAAAACAACAACAACCAACAAATGACCAGAGGTGCGTCAAGAACTTAGATTATACGATAGAGCCGTACATCTGTAAATCACATGTAGTGTGCGTAGAATGACACACATGACTGCGTTCTAGATCCTAATAAGGATACACGCTTACCTACCCTTGAAATCATAACTGCAAAAATAGCATTCGAAAAAATGTACAGATAGTTCGATATGAACTTAGTATACAATTACCAGAAACCCCTATATAACCCAACTCTGTACGTACTGGTTTAAAGATTGAAGGAGCATATACAGACATACCTATGATGCCACTTGTAGATCACAACGGATAGGACCACGATACCAACGCAGACTACTGTTGTTATGGCAACCGCGGCTATTCCCGCACCCGTGATCTTATCGTCCGGTTCTCCATTGGTTGTTTCAGTCACAACCGGATCACTTACGGTATTAGCTGAATAGAGCAAAAGGAATAATATATAAACATAGATAATTAAACGTACACACACAATATATATACATAGAGTGGTACTGAATTTTACAAGTATGGACATATTTTCAATATGCTTCAGCAATCACTGTATCACAGACTATACTTGCTAACATTACTGAGGTGCACGATACAATATACATGTACGTACTTCCACGCGTTAGATATAAAGCTCACCAATGGCCAAATAAACGGCACACAAGCAGACCACAAGAAAAGCCAAGAACAACAACAGCGGTGTCCAGAAGCGGGATGACAACAGTATATACTTGAAGTCATCGGCTGGTGTGTGAGCATTACATCGCTAGACAGTTTTAAAAACGGGGCACACACACAACGTACACACCACGTGTGACGTGCTATACTAAGAGTATCTACACACACCGGGTGATAGCTATATACCTATGTGGCTATATATGAATATAGACATGCCTGAATAACAGTGCATATATGGGCATGTTCAGTATCTATGAATGAAACTACTCGTATACTGGTGAATGAGTATGTGCACTGTAGATATACGCTATATAACACATAATATATACCAGATGGCGCATGCACATAATACAAATTCACTGCCACTTTGACACGACTCTTACATCTCATCACCATCCACTCTACCCGTACCAGTAGGGTCGATCACTCATAACACACCTTCACTACGCCTGTCGTATGCTTTAAATAGAAATATACGAGAGACACTCATTTCTCTTTTAGTGGGCTAAACAAAACCCCCACGCTGAGTTATGTATATCTGAAGATGTATGCATAAAAATATCTACATCTTTATACATCCATCTATACATACCAGTTTACTCAAGTTTACTCAAACGAACAAACAAACAAACAAACAAACAAACAAACAACAAAGAATATATATATATATATATATATATATATATATATTAATATATATATATATATAGAAATATACACATATACAGTCACACACAGGTCGGTTGCATCATACATGCATGACACAGCTTCCAAACAATCACGTCTCATATACATCACCCTACACATACCCGTTGGCTCAACCAAGTTCAGCACCACTTCGTTGGTAGGGGACGGGCTGGTTGTACTGCTGGCTTGGGCTGTAGTGTCCGTGGAGATATTCTCTGTGATTGCCTGACTCGCACTACTGGTTTTATCGACAATCGTGCTGGTGCTTGGGTTTGGGGTCTCATCTGACGCTAAGCTCGTAGCTGGTACAACTAGAAGTACAAAGTATGTGATAAAGTATAGGTGTCGATAGGGAGTAGGGAGGCTTCAGGCAAGAATAAGGGCGGAAAGAAAAAGCTTAAAGAATGGCGACTACAACTGGAGGATATGTAGGTGTCAATACACACACCTACCCACTCACCCACACACCCACACCCACACACCCACACACACTCACACACACACACACACACACACAAACACACACTCACATATATATATATATATATATGCTCATCAACGTACCCGTGTCTGCGCTTGTATCAGGTGTTGCTACTGGCTCCTCTGTACTCCCCGCTTGTTCCGATATAGTCTCCAATGGGGCGGATGTGACCGCAAGCGTAGCCACCGGAACCTCCACTGCGGTGGAAAAGTCACTTTGCGCGAAGAAGTTCGGTATCCCTTGCAACACATCGGACGCAGTCGTTGCCATTTCTGTCTGCGAGTCTCCGGTAAGTGCCTGGTATAAAGGTACAGACACGGCCCCATGGGGGGGGGGGTGTTTAAATAGGACAAGAAGAATCAGGGAAGCTTAGGTCGTGTACATGCACACACACGCACAGCTGAGTAGTAATGTGTGTGTGTATGTGTTACACCTGGATATCTAGTTGCGAATCAAAACCAGTACGGTGCGATAATACTCTGTGAGAGTTTCTTCAGAACCCTGAGGGGTTTTCTTATACGCAAGAAAAGGAGTGAGTGGATAGGCAGAGCTGAATGACCGATAGTCTCTATACCAACCCATATCACTACCCAAAGCATAGGACAGCCGAGTTCAGTTGCTGCATCCCATGACGAAGAGAATAGCTCTTTTCGACACCCTCACCCACAATGGAACCCAACACTCCCACCAAAGCTCACCCAATGGAATCAAACACCCTCACACCCAAAGGAACCAAACACCCTCACACTCAAAGGAGCCAAACACCCTCAAACCCAAAGGAACCAAACACCCTCACCCCCAAAGGAACCTAACACCCTCACACCCAAAGGAACCAAACACCCCCCACCTAAGCTCACCCAAAGGAACCAAACACCCCCCACCTCAGCTACCTGAGTGATGACCGCTATCTTCATATCAAACATGTCTGGCGAGGCGCTGTTGAAAGGAAAGGACGGGTAGGCGGTGCCGTTTAAGACAGTCATCTCGATGACATACTGAGAGCCTGCTAGCAGCTGCACGGGTGCGGTCAGGGCTGCGTTGTTCTGTCCGCTGCTGTATACGGTGGTGGCCAGGAGGGTGCTGATAAGGGGTGAATAAGCAGAAGGAGATGTAGAATCGGAATAGAGTATATGGATATATAATCAGAATAAGATACAGAATCAGAATAGGGTAC